TACGCATGCGCAGTAAGGTGAATTTAGCGTTTTCTGATGCTTCAGTGTGGATGAGAAACTTTTGGAAAACGCTAGTGTAGAGAGTGTTTTGAAACGCAAATGTCGTTTTAATGTAGACGTTGTCGTGGCCTCAGCGTATTTCATTGACATTGGGTGAGTGACTGAATTTGGTGCCAAAGGGAATGGCAATATTTGGCAAAAGGTGTCAGTAATAGTACAATAATAATACCTGCAATAGTACAAAACTACAAGTGTCAACAGTCTATTCCGAGATAGTCCGAGGAGGAGGAAGAGCTTGTATTTGTGATGTCATCGCAGCAGTCCTCCGCATCAGAGAAAGAGGAAGTGTAGTGGAGGCCCGAGAGTCTGTGGTAGTCCTGCTGAGAATTCTCTGGCAAATGGGACATGTCCATTGATGTCTGGCCTCTTTGTGAGCCAGAAACACTCCACATATCAATCAACTGTGTGCAAATGGCACAACCCATTGTTGAGACTGTCGTCAGATGCAAATTGCTTAAACAACTTTCTTCCTAAATGACATAACCTTTTATCAGGTATACACTGAAACACATGTCTGCAGTGTAGAGGCCTTTACTCATTCAAGCACTGGCTGTCATTTAAGGATTCAGTTGGAGTCAACATATGATAGCAAAAAGTAAGCGTGTCTGTGTGAAAAGAGCTATATGGGAAGAAAAAGAAAGCGTGAGAAAGCAAATTTAGACTTAGGTATGTCTTTCCTAGGAATGCTTTGTTCAAACCCTCGCCTAGAGGTAGTGACAATTACAAGGTGGAGTACAAGCTGAAAACTGAAAAGGAAACATTGAGACAAGAAAAGGCAGAGGGACTATGAGTCAAATTGTTGTAACATGTGCATTGCAGACCACAAATGGATCAGAGCTACACTGAGGTCTGCAACAGAATTACTGAAAGGTCACAAGGTTACAAGGTCAATAGTAAATGTAGTGCAAAATATTGAAACATGGTCAGTAATATTTCTGTCGGATTCTTAGTGTTGGTTAAAAATATGACAAAAAACTGGAATATGATATCAGTGATGAGTGTTTATCTAAAAAATGCAGTACCACACCTTACTTACTTTGCTTTGAACTCACATTATCAACAGATAGAATATCAGAAGCTAATAAAGTCTCCATTTTGCACTAGTCAAGATCAGGGAAGCTGTATTCTCCCACCCTGTGAATCCTGGGTGTGACTCTGATCATTGTCGCTATTGTTGCTTAAGTCTCAGTGGTGTCATGAGTATATCTCTCGGACCATTGTCCAGCCTGGGGAAACAAACATAACACATTCAGCAGTGTCGTCTGATGGCATCACAGATCATCTGCACCTCATAACGTTAAACGTTACACTAATGTGGACTGCGGTTTACAAGAACTCTGGGTAAAAGACTAATACCCAAAATACCTGTGCAGTCAGATGATGCTGACTATACTAAAATCAGTCATTCTACATGCTACAAGTAAATTTACAGTATGAAAATTGGATATTCATCTTCAGATTTGCTGAAAAACTACATTTAACTGTTATTAAATAATTAGTGTTTTTAAAGATAACTTTAGATGACAGCAAATTTGATCTACCGGTAATATCGATAACATTTTACACTCCATTACATAAATGTAAATCCTTAGATCCTTACACAACTGTGTGATTACAGCATTAGGTGTTATATATTTTAGGTGTGTGTGTGTGTGTGTGTGTGTGTGTGTGTTAATAATAGTGCACCAAAATAACTTTGAAGGGGTCTTAGCATTGATGATTTTGAGCACTCGAGCTGTGACAGGCTGACAGAGATGCACAAGCTCTGCACCCACTGAAGTGTTAATAACAAGGTCTATTAAAAATTCATTTCACAGCCATGAGGTTATTACCTCATGCTTGATGTGACATTGTTAATGCCTCTTGCCTGCGTTTGTGTCTGAGATACCTGAAGGGAATTTGAGACATTTTAGCAGACATTTGAGGTTTGGTGATACTTCTGGGAACCGCAGAATTACCTCCTGATTACATGGATATGTTGATTGTTTCATACAATTGCTTAAAGCAATTAAATGAAATGAATATTGGTGTATTTTATAAGAGAAAGCCCATTTCAATACACTCATATATGAATATGAAACTTTCAAAAACAGCACAACAAATAGGGTGTTCAACAAGCATCAAATCTGAGCAGAAAGCACAGATATCTTTTGTTTAGTAAAGATTTCAACTTTATATTAGGCCTTTCTGGATATACCTCTTGAAGTGTTAATAAAGCAGGAAGGTTTTTTTTTTATTTACCAGTTACTACAATGTTTATAGTGAAAATGTTTTTTTCACCTCTGTGTACAGCAATTTTACTCTTATTCATACCATAAATATAACATCAGTTTAAACTGGCATTCAATTATTATTTTTTAAATGGTTTTATGAACCAAGGCTGTGGTTCACATGTTATTATCATTTAAAATAAGCACACTGTAAACAGAGTCTTGACTAACAATATCCTGATCATTTAGACTCAGCAATTCAATATTTATCTATTGTGTTAAACAACAGAGCTGCCAGATGTTTCTGCAGCCCAGCTAGTACCACACATGCTAATGTTTACAGAAACAGTGGACCAAACCAGAAAGATGTTATACGTCATACACAAAGCATGTTTATTTCCTGAAATCACCCTTTAGATAATGAAAGCCAGATGCAGCAATTGCGCAAAAACAGAGGAATGACGACTCACTTTGGGATGAAAATTACAATCCTTCACGGCAGACAAGACAGCCGCACAGATGGGTGGTCTGCAGCTCTCCTCCTGCGCTCCTTTCTTCAGCCTGCAGACAGAAAGAGGACTTACAATGACATCAACAATGATAATGAGCTCTGTCACATAAATATTCACCTTCCCTGTGAGATTATTTGGTTTATACAAGGCAGTTGAAGCAATATTCCAGGGGCTGTGTGAGGACAAAGAAGAGATGGAGACGAAGGGTGGGGGGTTGGGGGCATGCAGGGAGTGGTGATTAAGATGAACAGAGCCTCGAGCATGAAGGTAACATTGAGTAGATGTTCCTCAGCATGCATGCTTAAAGAAGGCCTGGGGCTCTGGGAGCTAAATATGGATCCTTGAACATTTTAAGACGCAGTTTGTATCCATAAGTGATGGACCCGTGGAAATAGCTCAGCCTAAAAACTAGGCTTTTTTTCTTAGTAATAGCAAATATATATAACTTTAGATAAGAAAAACAGGAAAATAAAAAAATTAAAAAGCTGAAAGAGTTGTCCTGTTTATGTGGTCGATTAGTGTCATTATTGTTAACTAAAGCTACTAAAAAAATTAACTGACCATTAAAACTTTAATGATTAATTAAATAAAGATTAAATTAAATATAACATGGAAAGACTTCAACTTTAAAAACTTAGAAATATTTAAGTTGAAATACTAAAATAACTTAAACTGAAATTAAATAAATTAAAGCCAAATAGAAATATATATAAAACAAAAATTACAAAAGCACATAGCAAAATTACTAAAAACTAAAATTAACATTCAAATGAAAACTGAAAACGTAAAAAATGAAAGCTAATTAAAATGTTAATAAACATGTTAATAAACACTGGGTATATTGACAATGTCCATTAGAAAACAATTAAAACATAATATTTTTAAGAATTAATTTAAAATCATCAGCTAAAAAAAAGAAAAAGAGAAAATCAAGAGACGATTATAGGATTCTGGTAAAGAAACAACTTAACAAGTGTGGGCATGGCTTTAGGTTACGCAAAACGGATCTGAAGTTTATAACTGGATCAAGCTGGTCATGAATGTAGCAATTCAAGACAATTCCGGAAACCACAGTAATATGATCACAGAACTATATAATAAGCAATAAAATAAGGAAAAAGACACTGTGGAGAAAAAACAGGCTTTATTTCTATAAGTCAAATCAGACAGATCTTAACATTTAAATCACTAAAGTTAAAAAGGCATTACATCAGAAGTTACCTTGGAAGTTCCTGCAACAAAATATGTAACAGACCATATTGTCCTATACACAAGCAATTCTCCACAATTCTGACCGTTTGCTTATGAGAAAAGAAGACATTCATAAATAAATACTGTTACATTTTTTATGTACAAAGAATATGTTCGAAATGACATAGTTAGGCTAGATTATCGGCATTCTATTAGCATTTCCAACACATCTGATTCGCCTCATTGCACGTTCCCTTGGAAAAGTAGTTTAGTTTCATTTGAGACGGTGGAGCTGCATCATTAAACCATTGTGGCATATAAATGATGCAGCTTTCAACAGACAGCACACCAAGCATTTGAGTAAGCAGTTACTGTACGTTTTTGCCAGTCTGAGGAAATTGTGAAAAATGTGAAGACCATTTAATAGTGAATACGTCAAACACAGTAGCTTACGCAACCCTGTGTCAGAGCTGGGGCGCCGGGATGGGGATATCCGTGAAGGATTCATTTCCTTTTATTGGGACAGAGCATGGAGCTATGTCAAAACTGAGGTTTTTAAAGTGCATTAAAATAAAATGTAATATTAATGGGAAACACATCCTGAGCTTTTAATATTGAAATCTTATATTGTGTAATGACAGTGTCGGTTTCAGTAGCATTGAGTAAACAGCCCTAGATTCAACATGAAAAGGCTAATTCACCCATGGCATCACATCCTGTTGCTTCTTAAGATGAATTATTTTAATGCCAGAATTATAACTTCCAAAGCAAAAGTGCTGGCACCGGCATATATCTGTAACATCAAATCTTATCCCTCCTATAGTTTCCAGAGAACACGATTTAGTGGCTAGCGTGAACATAAACATTTGATGGTTGAGTATTGATGGAAATTGTTTTCGTAGATCTCGGAGGTGGGAATGTAAACACAACTCGCTGCAAAATAATGCTGAAAAGATTAAGCCTTCAACATCATCATGTTTCAACTATTCATTACAACAAAAACAAACTCAGTGCCAACATGCTCAATTTCATCACATTTGTACTGTGAATTATTGTGATATAGTGGAGTTGGGTGGCAAAGAAAGCTTCTTTGAACATGCAGATACTAAGTTCAAGCCTTATTTTTCCTAGGCAGACGTCAGTAAAGAGCTCTAACAAAAATTGAGTGAGAGTTTGAATATGGCCTGCTTGACGCATTATGTATTTACCTCTGCACTACTGAGAAAGGCTCACGTCACTGCCCTTAATCCCAATGACAACAGAAACAAGCATATCACCAGCGCACATGTATGAAGCTTCTTCACGAATGTTAAATATGCTTTATGTGTGTGTCTGATAATAGATTTATTCACCTAATAAATAAGACCCTTTCCTACACTAGGAGAGCTCTGTCAGTCACAGATAACAGATCCACAGAAATGCTCACGAAGTGCTTGTAAGACAGTAAGCGCAGTGCGTGACTGTCATCCACACGTTGGTCTTCATCACCTACAGTAGAGCAAAGAAACAAACAAAACCTATCAATAACAAGTGAATGTTTCATTCCTGTATTGAAATATATCGGTGATTTTTCAACTACGGTAATTGTTCTGTCTTCTATGATGATTTAAATATATAAAAAATATATTTTTTTGTGTGTAAAATCATCTAGGGGACAGAGAAGCTCTAGTTAAAAATATCTGGTTTTGTTATTTTGTAGTTTAAGTTAGTTAGTAGCTTAGTAACAAGGCCAAAGCTTATTTACATTTACATTACATTAAAGCCAAGGCCTAAGGCTTTTTTGTGTATTTTATCCTCAACAAATTGTATTTAAATGTATATGAATTGCCTCTGGCATGATTGTATATGTTTATGATCATTGTTGAATAAATCAAATCAAATCAAAATTTCACATTTGTTGAATGTCGCCATAGTCATGTCGTTACAATCACACAAACAATTAAACAAACTAGAGTACACATTATACCAAAATCCACCTGAAGCTTCAGCAAAACCTTGATCAGATCTTTATTGCATGGCATGTGATAAATAATTTCATAATATTTTTTTTTTTAATGAACTTGCATTTTTTAAGGTTTTCAAGTAGTAAAAGTGCCCCTAATTGAAGAATCAGCCAAACACAAGGGCAATGTAGGTAGATGTGATTAATCAGTCTGTCTGGATCATACCAGTCTGTACCATAGCTGACTAAACATTATTAGAATTAGAATTGCTTCACTTTCTCAGACAAGAGGGTTTATAAAGGGTTCACACAGGTTTCACAGAAGAGTAGGTATAGTTCAATGCTTTAACTACAGACATATTCTATATATTCTACTAAATCTATAATAAAAAAAAAGTGTCAAAATACTTTTAATAATTTTAAACAATATATCACTTTTAACCAATTTAATGCTTCCTTGCTGAATTCTCTAGAAAAAAATCGTATTGGCCCAAACATACATACAAGTGTGGCTTAGTGTTCAAATCGTTTTTTGAGGTAACTCTTACCATTTCAGAGGGCTCTGGTCTCAGCCTCTATCTTCCTCTCACCATGCGTGTCAGTGTCTGGGGGGCTGATGGTTTGCCGCACTGCAATCTCTGGCCCACCGCCATAAATACTTAACAAGTACTGCCACGTTTCTTCAGATATCTGCCCGTAGTCTGCTCCTGCAAACCAAACCGTAGATAATGAACTATATACAAAGACACACATGCGAGTCAGACAACGTTTTGACACAAGATGAATCACAGACACATCAATTTTTGGACAGGCAATACCCTGTTTAAGCTGGATATGTCCGCCTTTCATTACTGCAATCTTGCTGTTGTCAATAGGGCCGGGCGGCTCTAAACCACCAGAGAGAGAGAGAGAGAGGGAGGGAGGAAAAAAATAATGACCTTTACAGTCCATAAGCAAACATTCCCTTGAAAATACAGAGGGTGGTCTTGGCAGAACTGACAAGAAATCCCACCATTGGTTGAGTCAATGTTGCCATGTCAGGCTGGTCGGAACACTCAAACATACAGAGGGTTCTTTTGAATGCGTTTCAGAGCCACAGTGTTAAAAGTTTTAGGGAGAACTATAACATCAGATAAAAATTACACACATCACCTAATGTAACATGGACGTTTGTAATGTATTTTACACAAAGTTTTAAAGGGATAGTTCCCTCAAAAATGAAAATTCTGTCATCATTTACTCACTCTCATGTCATTCAACTTGTATGCATTTCTTTCTTCTGTGGAACACAAGAAAAAGATAAAGAAGATATTTTGAAAAATGTCTGTTTTTTGTCAATATAATGAAAACGACTTCTTTTGTGTAAAGAAAAAAAGAAAGTCATACAGGTTTGTAACAGCATGACGACAAGTTTGAGGTAAACTATCCCTTTAAAAGTCAGCATTAACTGGAAAATGCAATGGAATTTTTTTCCCTATTGTGACGTAAATGCAAGTAAAATGGCACCTCGAGCAAAAAAAAAAAATAAAAAAAAATTGGGACTTCATTTTGTCCATCGGGAATTGATTGGATTGTTGCCATTTGCTAATTGCTGCGATTGTTTCATGTGAGTGACAAATTGCTGGAGGGGAGGAATTGAAACTCGTCAGGCCATTGGACAAACTTATTGCCAAGTCCTTGGGCTGGTTTTCACGTCAACAGAGAAGAGATGTCATTGTAAGGGGAAGGGGACGTTAATGTTTTTGCTTAAAGATTATGAGGGCACATAAATTAAAAAAAATAATGATGTGCATGATACATTACTTTAATTGAATACTGCAATTTTACATAAAAAAATAATAAGAATAAGAATTGTCAATGTTGATTCAAAGTGACCATAGTGACTAGTGGTGCAACAGATCACTAAACTCACGGTTTGGATCATATTACAGTTTTTGAGTCACGGATCATATCATTTTGCGGATCAGCAAAAATAAATAAATAATAATAATAATAATGGGGGGGGGGGGGGGGGGGGGGGTGTAATGTAACTTTCCTTTTGATATATATATTTTTTAATAAATACAATATAACTAAGTTACAAATAAAGTAAGGTCTAACAGTAGTATTCAGGTAAAGAAATGTAATCATTAAATGTAAATTAACACTATAGTGTTCACTGTACAGTGCTTAGCATAAGTGAACACACCCATGCTAAAGTTGACTAAAAAGAGGAATTTTGGAAATTGATCTTAATGCCTTAAGAAAATTAGGAAAAATCCAAACTTTAAGGACACCAATTTTCTTTGTGAATGAAAACGTATCGTAAATAAATAAATGTTCTTCTTTAATATACAGGGGGCATAAGTTAGGACACCCCTATGTTAAATTCCCATAGAGGCAGCCAGATTTTTATTTTTAAAGGCCAGTTATTTCATGGATCCGGGATACTATGCATCCTGATAAAGTTCCCTTGGCCTTTGGGATTAAAATAGCCCCACATCATCACATACCCTTCACCATATAGAGATTGGCGTGGGGTACTTTCCATAAGATCATCTCTCAATGCAAATCAAACCAGCTATTAGGCTATCATAGGTCGGCAACCGCCCTAGTGGCTCCCTTGAGCTTTTTCAAAAATTTGAAAATGGAAAAAATATTTTTTGTTTTAATATAATTTATGTAGGAGGAAATACATGACAAATATTCTTGAAGTTTTTCAACGTTGTAAAAATGTGTATAATAAATATTTAATTTCAACATTTCTGTCAACGAAGAATTTACGTCATAGACTGTTACACACGTGTCTGTCAGATCGGCGTGATGCCAGACCGGTGGCTGACAAACAAACTAACCGGCGGGTGTGTCATGGGCCATGGATCCCAAGGGGAAAAAGAGAAAGATAGCTGAGCACTCCCAACGCAATAGAGTGCGGGGCGGGACTAGATTTGATGGGCGAGTGCGAGCGCGGGCGCGTGCGGTAATGCACTCACTCTACTAAAACAAAATAGAAACGATTTACAGGCTAGAATTTCTATTCATAACGTGTTTGCAGCGTTGAGCGATATAGCCAATCACAGACATATGTGTTGATTTCTTGAACGCAATGGCCAATCAGAAGCATTTAAGATAGACTCCCCTCACCGCTCAAAACTGACGTTTTTGTTCAGTGCTGAATTCTGTATGCTGGCAGATCCTCCAATTATAACGAACAAAGTGTGGATATTATGAAAGATTCATTGTGCAGTCAGCTTCATTGATAATAACAGAGATGTGTGAGATCGCGATGAACTGTCAGCTTTTTAGGAATTATTAGAGCGCACTTTGCGCGCATTCAGTCATGCCAAACCATGCACGCATAGTAAACTGCTTGCTTTTATGTTAAATTAACAGTGGTTTGTGTTTTAATGCTTTAATAACAAATAATTTATCAGGAGGATGTATGGTGGCGACACGTAGGCTAACTTGAAAGTATTTGGAGGTACAGAAAAAAGTCTATTTGCGGGCGGGAGCGGGACAAAACAAATGTTGCGGGCGGGAGAAAGAAAGTTGAGAACGTCAGTTATAACGACCCACGCATTAAAAAATGGTCGGGTTAAAATCGGGCTCGGGCTTATAATTACGTTTAATGTGTCGGGCCGGGCCGGGCTTGATTTTTTTGGGCCCGATCTAAGCTCTAATTTGTAGCCTTATCATTTTGATACTAATAAAGCTAATATAACACTTACAGCATGTGTTGCCTTCATTATAAGGCTTATATAAAGCTTTTAATTTTTTGCGGCTCCAGACAGATTTTTTTTTTTTTTTTGGGTCCAATATGGCTCTTTCAACATTTTGGGTTGCCGACCCCCAAAACCATGCCAATCTCTATATGGTGAAGGGTATGTGATGATGTGGGGCTATTTTAATCCCAAAGGCCAAGGGAACTTTATCAGGATGCATATAAATAAATAAAAATAAAAATCTGCCTGCCTCGCTGGGAATTTAACATAGGGGTGTCCTGACTTATGCACCCTGAATTTTAAGGAAGAACATTTATTTATTTACGATACATTATTCATTCACAAAGAAAATTGGTGTCCTTAAAGGTTGGATTTTTCCTCATTTTTTTAATTAAGGCATTAAGATCAATTTCCAAAAGATGATTTTTTATTACTCTTTTTAGTCAACTTTAGCATGGGTGTGTTCACTTATTCTAAGCACTGTATAAATTAAATATAGATTAATCTTTGTTACAGATGTGTTTTGTTGTTTGTTTAACATTAATTACATAGACATCAGTATATTTTTATAGGCTGCTGTTACTTTAAGACCTACTTTAAAAACGGATCCAATATAATGATACACATCTGATTTCTTTCTCAACTGTTTATATTCGCTTAAAGGGATACTCCACCAGTTTTTCTTATTAAACTATGTTATTCCCTTAACTAAGACGAGTTGATACATACCTCTCTCGTCTCAGTGCGTGCACTATATCGCTCTGTATTGCCGCAAAACTATGTTAGCACTTAGCTTAGCCCATGCATTAAATATGGGCCAAGCAGAGAAGCGACCAAACACTTCCACGTTTTCCCTATGTAAACACAGTTACTCGAGTAGTGTAACTTGACCTGGGCTGGTGACACAAAATAAACCGTTGCGCTTTTCTAAGCGTTTAAAATTGATGACTATATTGTATGGCGGAATACCATAACAAGTGCTTTTGAGCACTTCGACTTGGCGCAATAATATCTTCACTCGTGAAAAGTCCTCTTACCGGCTCCCGCTTCCTCTCCCCCTCCCTCTGACATTTCCGTCAATACAACCAACGTGACTTTTACTACCTGTGCTATTAGCAAACTGCAGATCATTTGCAAACTGCAGATCATTTGCAATGGCGGACTTTGTAGATGATTATGACTTCTTTGTAGAAGACCCAGAGCCATATCTGTTTGAACCCGAGTACACGGAGGAGGAATTAGCTCTTATGGACCGTGAGAGGCAAGAAAGATATGATCCAGAACAGACCGGAGCTGGTGAAAGACCACGGGCAAACAGCAATTGGTGGTGCAAGTGTGACTGTTGCGAACAGATGCCGACCGAAATTGAGAGCCTGTGCTGTTTAGAATGCTAACTAGCTTCCAACAACCTGTTACTTCGTCAACTCCGCTCGAACTACTACTACCGGCGCATGTCACGTTGGTTGTAATGACGGAAATGTCAGAGGGAGGGGGAGAGGAAGCGGGAGCCGGTAAGAGGACTTTTCACGAGTGAAGATATTATTGCGCCAAGTCGAACTGCTCAAAAGCACTTGTTATGGTATTCCGCCATACAATATAGTCATCAATTTTAAACGCTTAGAAAAGCGCAACGGTTTATTTTGTGTCACCAGCCCAGGTCAAGTTACACTACTCGAGTAACTGTGTTTACATAGGGAAAACGTGGAAGTGTTTGGTCGCTTCTCTGCTTGGCCCATATTTAATGCATGGGCTAAGCTAAGTGCTAACATAGTTTTGCGGCAATACAGAGCGATATAGTGCACGCACTGAGACGAGAGAGGTATGTATCAACTCGTCTTAGTTAAGGGAATAACATAGTTTAATAAGAAAAACTGGTGGAGTATCCCTTTAAGACATAACTGACTGTGTTTACGAGAATACTTGCCTAGATGGGTATTTAACATCATTTTATGTGTATGTGTCCGTTCAAGCGCAAGGAGACGTGAAAGAGGAATCAATTCTGTGTTTGCGCGTGGTCTACAATGCGCCTCTCTCTGTGTGTGCTCAGATAGCAGCGCATGATCAATTTTTCTTTTTCTTTCACCTCTTCTCTGAATGGTTTAAATCGCTTGAATGTGTAAACTGTCAAGAAAAAAACACATGCAAATGATAAACTTTCAGTCTATGATGGTTAAACTTAGCAAATAATCCACGGATCACATGCATGCCTAACCGTGAGGCCTGGTCCGTACTCCGTACGGAGCACGGACCAACTGTGATCTGTTGCACCTCTATTACTGACTGTTTTAATACAAATAGAATGCTTAAAAATAGCTGTACAATATAAACAGACACTTAAATTCCTCCCTCAGGTCAGTGAACTAAATGCCACAAATTGACATTATTATTCATTTTGCTGCATATATTGTTTTAAATAATAAAATAAGCAGTATCACATGTGTGTGAGTTTGTATAAGAGTGTACCGTTGTCTTTGCCCTTGACAAAGCTCTCCCATTCTCTGAACCACTGCATGCTGATACACAGGATAACCGTAGGCGCTTCTTCAGCCTGAAACTCTTTATTTAACTATAGACAGACAGAGAAAAAAAGAAACAGAGAGGGACATGACCACTATCAAATTCAAACTCCCTCTAAACAATCTGAGTGTTTCCGCACTATTCAGTATAACAGTTATAGCTGCATTTAATATTGATGCGCCCCTTTAAAAACTGTGGAGTTTCAAACATGACATCCAAATTTTTCCAAAGCTTCAAAACATGTCTGTTTCAAAGCTGTTGATGCACCTGATAAGATGCTGCACTCCTGATAAGATTCCAGTACAGGTCAAATCCTTGATCTGTTCAGTATGCAGTCTGTTTTTCATCAGTTCTCTGGCTTTACGAGCGAGCAGCAAACGCTTCCAAGAACATTATGCTCCTTCCAAGAGGAGTTTCCACACTACGTTACCTAAAATGCTGTTTATCTGAGTGGATAACCAGAAGAACACTCCCTCCTATCTGTGATTCACAGTGAGTGTTGTGGAGATGGACAGCATCTCATTGTTTACTTTTAAGTGGGCTACAAAAGTTGGCAACATATTAAAACAGCAAGAGCAAACTAATTTGTCTGTACATGAACGGCACTTATTTTTGCAAACAGTAGAGAACTCTGTCTGTGTGAAGTCATTTGTTCACCTTGATGAAGGTGTCTATCTCCAGCTTCCGTCGTTTGGCTAAGGTCTCGATCTCTACTTGGCAGATGGCACACACATATAAGTGATTCACGGCTGGGCCTCCCCCAAACCTGTGAAAGACATGAAGAAATATTCAAAGTATGGCCAGTGAAAAGCGCAAACACATAACTCAACAATGTTTACATTGCACTGCTGGTGTAGTTCCTTAAACATGACATCAGATGCCTCGAACCGACAGAACGCCATAAACATCTTGTGAGTTCAGGGTTAGACTGAGGTTTTGTTGACTTCACCAGATCAGAAGCTCAAAAATAATCCATGTTCCACTGAGGTGATAAATGTCCTGAGGACTTCCTAAAGGTCAAAAATGTGCATTGCTATGCATGACTCACCTGTTGTAGAGATATTCCCACACATTCTGAGGAAGGATCACGACCAGATCGTCCACATAATGGTACTTGGTAGGAGGGATTCCTGTATAAAAATCATACCTGAATTAAGTTTTTACTGCTACAGCAAGTGAAAAAGATTTAAAAATATCTACCAATGGGCAAACCATAGGGGGGCATATACTGGGTTGAAAATGAGCTATTTGCCAAAAGTGCCAATAGCGGGTAAAATGAGTAAAATAATCAAATAAAAAAAGGTGATGCTATTCACTGTATCACTTGTTGTAATATACTTTCTACGTGAAATGTTGTCTCTCATAAAAACATTTACACACTAGATTCAGTGGCTTAATGCAATTAATAGTTCACATATGAGTCATCACATGGAGCTCTAGAAGAGGAAAAAAAATAAAACCTTCAGGCCATCCTAGATAACCTTTGGTGGTCATTTTTCCACTGAGGAAAAAGATGTGCGAATTGTGACAGCCACACGAGTCTTTACATGCAGACAGAGGAGAAGAAAATACAACATTTTAAGACTGTATGTCACTTATGTCAAGCAAAAAAACAAACAAAAAAACTGTGAGGGTCAGATAGGGGTGTGTGATTATGTATTGTCTACGTTAATCTCGCAATTGTTGTTTTAACTGCAGCCACATACCACATACTGTAGCCAGTAAATCCATTTACTCACCCACTAAAGTCAATTTGTACTCGCATGTACTCTTTGTACTCTTCATACTTACACAGTAAGCACAGTACAGAGAAAAAAATGTGTGGTTTCATTAGAGCAGCAAACTTTATGACAGAGTAAGGCTCAGAAGTGCCCCCTGGCACTCCCTAAACTCTTCTGAACCTATGGTCTGACAAAACCTTGATGTAGGTAAATTAATATTACAGTCATGTAATTAATTCAACCTAAATTGGTCCAGTTTGGATAGGTTTTAGATATACATGACAGCATTTGTGTGTGATTATACCTCCATGCTGACAGAGGAAAGTGTGGTTGGCTATGGGTCCAGGCTCAGTGAATGTGTTGAACTTGTTGAGCCATTCTCTGGAAATGTAGAACTGAAGCAGACTGGGCTCCTTTAAATTAGCCAGTGCGACAATCTTCTGTCTCTCTCTCACAGATTCTTCACTGCTCTTCCTAAAAGAAAATTAACATGAAATTACAACCATTTAAAAGTGCACTCAGCACTATATGTCCCAATAGTATAGGATTTTATTCTGACATCTATTGGCATGGAACCTAATGAACTTAGCATACATTGTTTTAAGTACTATTCATTTAATTAAATGTAAAACAGTTGCAGAGTAACATAAGTAGCGACAGATCTTTTCTTACGTATCGTGACGTACATACAAGTGAAACAGATTCTCACAAAAATGTAGGCCAGGGACTTGGTTCTATCCATCCGTTGTTGATTGGATGGAGGCAGATCTAAATGTAAGCCTGTGATTGTAAGAAAAGGGGTGGGTTTATGCGGACTAAATGATAAGTCTGGCATACAGTCAGGTCCATATATTTGGACACAGGCACAATTTTTGTTATTTTAGCCATTTGCCAAACATATTCAAGTTAGTTATATAATGAATGGGCTTAATGTGCACACTCTCAGCTTTAATTTGAGGGTATTCGCATCCCCCCTTTTCAAGGGACCACAAGTAATTAGACAATTGACTCAAAAGCTGTTTAATTGACAGGTGTGGGCTATTCCTTCATTATTTCTTCATTGCTTAAAGGGGTGATGAACTGAGAAATCAAATTTTCCTTGAGCTTTTATGTCAAAAGAGGTCTAAGAGGTCATCATATTATAAGAATATCCTGTAAGTTTCAGAACTGAAAACGTCCTTGTTAGTCCAATAAAAGCTTTTATTGACACCAGGCTCAGCAAACGACTCGTTTTTTAAAAGTGGGGAACTATGACGACAAAGAGGATAAAACACCACCCCCGCAGAAGAAGATCAACGCCTACTTCAAACACGGCCGGTTTAGCCCCGTCCACCAATTCGCGCATTACACGAAACTCATTATAATATGCAAAACTGTTATCCACTCACAGCAGTGGGTGTTTACTTCTAAGTCTTCAATGCGAGACGCCCATAAAAACCGAGCGTTTTTTGAGCTAGGCTCAAAACTAGGGTAGAAAATAGCCTATTACGTATTCATTTTTATGTTTTTGAATGTAAAAACCAAGCGAACGTCATAAGTTGACCTCAGACAACAATATAAAAAAATGTAAAAAGCCAGTTCATGACCCCTTTAAGCAGGTAAAAGATGGAGTCTGGAGTTGATTCTAAGTGTACGTTTACACGACAACGATACGCTTAAAACGGGGACATTTTTTCCTTTCAGTTTTCGGGCGTACAGACGACACCATTGTCAAAACGATCCCCATTCACACGGATCCGCGAAAACGACTAAAAACCCTGTAATCTGCTGCCAGGCCATTAGATGGCGATGAAACACTATAGACTAAACACGTAAAACGCATGTGCATGACGTCATTGTCTTCAGAGATTCGCGTTTTAGGCTGAATCCCAAATGGCACACTTCATGTGGACTCGCAGTCTCGTGGCCTGAAATTGCGTGTGCTCGCCAAGTGTACGAGTCCGTAGGGTGTCCCATTCTGCATTTTAGCGCTCAGAAGTGTGCTCGCGAGCGCCGCCTTTGTGCCCTCGATGCGGACTTCGGCGAAGCCCGCACTTTCGCACCCTCCACGCGAGTTACCTACCCAGGAATCATTGCGAACGCCCAATCAGATAAATGAGGGGAGGAGTTTTGTGGCTGTTTGACTTTCGGTGGCATGATGTTATCAAGCCTGTCCCAAAATACACTCTCGCGTGGACTCGAAGCCAGCGCCCCTTAGGTCTGCACTTCATGACATCACCAAATGTGAACTCGAAGGAGGTCCACCGTGTGCCATTTGGGATCAAGCCTTTGTTGTTTACACGGAAACCGTTTTCAAAAACTTGCAGTTTGAAACCCGTTTCCAGGCACCCAAAACGCTGTTGTCGTGTAAACGAACGGCCAAAACGCATAAAAAGTTTTACGTTTTCAGTTGAAAATGGTGTCGTGTAAACAGCCCCTAAGTGTGGCATTTGCATTTGGATCATGTGGTCAAAGTAGCTCTCTATGCAAGTGAAACAGGTCATCATTAGGCTGTTTCAAAAACAAAACAAACCTATCAGAGAGATAGCATGCAGGAACATTAGGATTGGCCAACAGTTTGTTACATTCAGAGAGAAAAAAAAAGAATGCACTGGTGAGCCCAGCAACATAAAAAGGCCTGGACGGCAAAGAAAGACAACAGTAGTGGACGATCGCAGGATCTTTCCATGGTAAAGAAAAAACCCTTCACAACATCCAGCCAAGTCTTCACTCTCCAAACCAGTTCTGGAAAAGCATTCTTTGAACTAATGAAACTAAGATCAACCTGTACCAGAATGACGGGAAGAAAAAAAGTTTGAAACAGCTCATGATCCAAAGCATACAACACCGTCTGTAAAACACAGAGGAGGCAGTGTGATGACATAGGCATGCATAGCCTCAAGTGGCTCTGGGTCACTGGTGTTTATTGATGATGTGACAGAAGACTAAAGCAGCCAGATGAATTCTGAAGGGTATAGGAATAATGTCTGCCCAGATTCAGCCAAATGCAGCAACGTTGATTGGACGGCGCTTCAAAGTACAGATGGACAATGACACTGCAAAAGCAACCCATGAGATTTAAAGGAAAAGAAGTGGGATAGTCTGCAATGGCCAGGTCAATCACCTGATCTGAACCCGATTAAGCATGCATTTCACATGCTGAAGACAAAACTAAAGGCACTAAAGACTAAAGACCCAAGAACAAACAACAAATTAAGACAGCTGCAGTAAAGGCCTGGCAAACCATCACAAAGGAGGAAGCCCAGTCTTTGGTGATGTCCATGGGTTCCAGACTTCAGGCAGTCATTTCCTGCAAAGGATCCTCAACAAATTATTGAAAATGAACAATTTATTTATGATTATTAGTCCAATTACATTTGAGCCTTTGAAAATAGAGGGACTGTGTATAAAAACGGTTTCAATTCCTATTTTTGTTCCGATATTAAATCTAAAAGTCTGCATTTCAATTTCATCTTGATAGTTGTATGTTAAAAAATATATATGGACCTAACTGTACATCACCAGAGAGAAGTCTGCCGTTTGACTGGAAGATTGAGTTATAACATTTTTGATAAAAAATTATGAGGTAAAAAAAAAAGTTTTTTAATGAAATATATGCAAGGATGAGTCATAAGGTGCATAAAAAGGGTGAATTTTCATTTCAAGCCAACTTTAATAAGAAAAACATTACTGTGTGCTCTTTAAACAAACATTACAAAATCAGTAAAATAGCACAAAAAAAAGTACCTGTAGAAAAGGACATACGCTTCAGCATTCTGCACTACTGTCTCGTGCACTTCTGTTACATACTGATCATCAAACTCGTACCACTGTCCATTGATCACATTCTGACAGTACGCTATGTAGTGACCACCTGTTCAAAAGGGGGGAAAAAATATTATTTCACTCAAATAAATCAGACAAAATAATATATTTTTTCTCATCTGGGAAAAGCGCCAGCAATTAACAAATACCAGGCCATTTATCAAAACTCCAGCTATATTTCGCAATATTACACAGAAGTAACTTACTCCCAGCAGTTCCGTGATGACAGATGACAGACAGCAGGTCGTAAGTAGTAATCTGCGACGGGCTCTCCTTAGCCAAGAAGGGCTTGAGATCCAAACCCTCCAATGGAAATGACACGTGGCTATTTATCTTGAACGAGTACATGACTTCATGCCTGAAACGCTTCAGGTGAACGCACAATATCTGCAAAGGAGATCACACATAAACAAACAAACTAGGAATACAAGTTGTATTGAAAAGAGCAGATCGAAATGGAGGGGGTACTTACTTCTGGTAGACGCAGAACTTTACAATATTTCACACCATTTCTCAATCTGGGAAGCAGGTAGAGTAAATTAGCATGTTTCTATCCTAACAGCTACAGTATGGTTTTGGCTGTAAAACCATAATTAGTATTTAGATTCGATTACATTTTAGCCTTTTTTTTATATAAGAAATCTTACTTTTTACATCGTTCACAGCTGTACATGTTGTCTCCTGTTTGGCGGAAAGAAAAACACATCAACCAAGGGTTTCCAAACAGTACAACAGTGTGGAAAGTGAATATTAATTAGTTTACCCTTTGCTGTCGCATTCATAATTCCACATTCATAAATGTCAAACATGGTGTGCTTACCTTTCAGCTCATCAGCAGCAAAGAAGGCTGCCAGGCAGTCCTCCAGCGTTACCATGGGACCCCAAAACCAACTGGGAATACAAGACACTACAAACCTGCATAAAAACACACATAACGTCACCAGAATCCGCCGTTAAAAATAAATCATCTACCCGCCACCCACCCAAACTTATGATTTTCTCTGATTTAGATATCCACACCCAACTCGCACACGATTGTCACATTACAATTATTCAAATTATCAGTGTTAAGCGTGATAATACGGTATAATATTACACTGGAGTAGGCTGCTTTTAAATGAAAATTATTAAAGTAAAAGGAAAATTTACATTTCCTTAATAGCCTAAACACAGGCTTCAAATTTAAATTGTCACTGTTTCCGTCACTGCAACTTCCCAAACACGCACAAGAGGAAATATGTTCAGCCCAAGCAAACGCTGGATAGGCTTTATTAGTTTTTGTCACATACATATAGTATTTCCCAGCCGTTACATATCACATAGCCATCACCTGATTCGTCCTGGTTAACAACTTCATTAAAACGCTCCTAAAGCGGTACTTTGCTTTCCTTCCTTTTGTTTTGGTTTAATTCTCCTTTTTGGAATTTCTCAGATCTGTTTCGCCTCTTTCTCAGATTTTGCAGAATTTCTCAGAGTCTGCAAATTAGTGCCTCTAAAATTAAGCTCTAAAGGGATAGACTAAAGGAATATTATGGAAGTCATTAGCCCCGTTGACTTCCATAGTATTTTTTTTTCCCATACTATAGAAGTCAGTGGGGTCCATCAACTGTTTGGTTACCCTTATTCTTTAAAATATCTTCTTTTGTGTTCAGCAGAAAAAAGAAATTCACACAGAACTTGAGGGTGAGTAAATGATGAAAATTTTCATTTTTGGGTGAACTATCCCTTTAAACACGTTAATATTTCCATCATTAATGATTTATCTTCTCCACCCATGAACTCCCTGCAATTAATCAGAACGTTATTTTTTTATTACTTGGCCCGCCAACCTGCGGATCATCCGCATTGTCCGCAGTTATAAGATATAGTTTTCACGATCACTAATAGACATACATTTACATTACAATATCAGAGGGGTTTTTTTCAGGGCAATTACATAGTTTTACATTCAGCTTTTGGTGAACACACACTACCGTTTAAAAGTTTGGGGTCAGTATGATGTTGTTTTTTTAAAGAATTAATACTTTAATTTTATTAAGCAATACTGTATTAAATTTATGCACAAAAGTTACAGATTTTTTGTTACAATGTATAAGTCTTTACTATTTCAAATAGTAAAGCTGTTCTTTTGAACTTATGTACTATATTCATCAAATAAATCATAAAAAAAAATGTAGCATGGTTTCAACAAAACTATTGAGCAGCACAACTATTTTAAAGCAGCACTAAGTAGGAATTCCGTTTTTGTCAAACAGCGACCCCTAGAGTCGCTGTGGAGTACTCGTACTGTCGTGAATAGCACTCACGCAGAGATGGCTCGCACTCACGGCCGGATCCCCTCCTCCTGTACACCGGTACCTGTTCAGTAGGATGGACGCTGTAACGAGTGGAAATAAGGTATGGCCCCTTTGAGAGCAGCGCCCTGTTTAACTGTCGGCAGTCTGTATTGTATGTGCGCCTCGAACACCACAAGTATACGGCGCCGGGTTATTTCTGTTTGATGCTCATTTTATCCGAATTTTATCAGATCTGTTTTTTGCCGTAAAGCAATTCGTTACCTCGCGAGACCTGATATCACACGATACTTCCTAACGCGGCCCGCCGGCCCAAAGTTGCAAGGGTGGTTTTGCGGCTCACAGGCACCAGGGGGGTGCGAGACGACCACCATTCAACACGAAATCAGTAATATAAACATTACAATGACTCCAAAGCTGTTCGGTTAAGGTAAAAAAGTTACTTAGTTCACCTTTAAACATCAATAAGGTCTTGAGCACCAAATCAGCATATTAGAATGATTCTAAAGGATCTTGTGACACTGATGACTGGAGTAATGGTATCTAAAAGTTCAGCTGTCATCACAGGAATAAATTACAATTAAAAAATATATGAAATTGACTTTTTACTGTATATTTGTTCTAATAAATGCAGCCTTGGTAAGCATAAGAGACTTCTTTCCGTCTTAGAGACTTCAAACATTTGGACTGTAGTGCAATACATTTTTTTCCATTAGTTCATTCTCAGCCTCAACCACACTCTCACTATACCTTCGTATAGAATCCATGATGTAGGAGATCCAGCCCTGTGCCGCATAGGCATCCGTGCAGACACCAGCTTTAACTGGAGCGATCTGGTGGATAGAGGAATGGAGTTTGGCCAAATCTTCTTTACCCGGAATAGGCAAAGACAGGTCCTGAAAGGTCTCCACAGTTGTCGAAACCTACAAAGGCAGATATTTTCTTTAAAACATTGCTATTTCTGCAGTCTTACACATACTGTACCATTGAAATATCCTTCTACTGTTACATAACATTTGGTTTATGTGATATGAACACAGTCTGTTTTGTGCAGCTATGAATTGCTGAATTCTAGAATGACCTGAAGTGAAAGTGGAGGACCTCAGAAACCACATGGTTCATCACTGACTTCACTGAAGTACACTGTAGGTTTGATCATAAACGATTTGTTCATTTTGAACAACTCTTTAAATTGACTCGGGAACGAGTTGCCTCAGAGAGTGATTTGTTCATTTTGTGTTGACCGGGCAAGCGCAACATCCTATTGGTTCTGTACAGGAAACAAAAATGATTAGTTCACCTCCTGAGTCATTTATTCTTTTGTCACATGACGTGACAGCCATATTGGATAAAGAAATTAGTTAATAATTCCCAAACTTCCTTACAAACAAGAGCGTAGTCAGTTTTTTTACTCTTACAGTTAGTGATCGTTTCTGGTCTCAAATTGTAGCTTTCTTATTTCTTACAATTTATAAAATTGTAAATTTCTGTTATGATGTTTCTTTTCCATAACATTGAATGTGGTAAAGAGTTGGTTAATGCTTTAAACGTTATCCGTATGATGGGTAAAATCACTTTGATAAAGCAAAGATACCTACATATAATAACAACATACAGTTACGTGACAAAAGAGCAAACGACTCAAACCCGAAGATTCGAGAGGTAAACTAATCATTACCTCAGCTTCTGGGCTGTCACGGGATGAATCAATTCTGTTTCCGGTAGACTGCACAGCTCAGCTTATGGGGATGTGATGTGACAAAAGAATGAACAACTTAGATCGGGAGGTGAGGTAAACTAACTGAATGCTTTGCCTGAAGACCCAGCTAAGGAATAAAATAATAATTTTCTGTTTCTCATAATTTGGTTGCATTATAGTTTTTTTTATAGTAGATGCGTTGGGGTAATATGCCCATTCACATCCAACATTTGAATTATATTCTGCTGAAATGAACGAAATGAATTGAAAAAAAAGAGGTTAATTCATTTTGATGAAAGAGATTCAAAGATCCAAGTCAGTAAACTTATCCGAACTTCCCATCACTACTGTAGTGGTATGTGTTTAAGTGTAATGAATGTGATGTGATGCTTGGTGCCCTCTTGAGACAGAAAAACTCCTTGCATCCTTCCTCACCCGGTCACATGTCAAACACTGAACCAGACTCAGAATGGATCCGTCAAAGGTATCTGAAATAACACTGCGGAAACGGGACTGCTTCTTCTTCTTGGTGCTCAGGAGCATCTGAGCTACAAGACAAACAAACATAATGGTTATTTAGTCTAAAGCAAAATTATGATATGATGTATTTGTCTATATGAGAGAAGCAAACCTTTCTTGAAAGTATAAGTGGGTCCAGTTCTGAGGGGGCTGGATCTTGGTGGGCTGCTGGAGAGTCTGGAGTGAAGCTCCTGCAAACTGTGAGCGGGGCTAGAAGGATGAGAGGACGGACAGTGCATGGAAGCTTCATTATCAGGTTCTGCAAGAGAAGAGGGATCAGGAAGTGAAAAGATTTATGTTTTCACATCCAAACACTTTATAAACTATGTAAACATACTCTCTACTGCTTAAAAGTTTGGAGTCAGTAAAAAGAGAAATTAATACTTTTATACAGCATAAATGCTTAATTGATCAAAAGTGACAACAAAGACTTGCATTATTACAAAAGAATTCCAAAAATATTATCATGGTTTCCACAAAAATATTAACCAGCACACCTGTTTATACATAGATTATAATAAGAAATGTTTGTTGAGCATCAAATTCAGCATATTAGACTCATTTCTGAAGGATCATGTGACACTGAAGAGAAGACTGGAGTAATGACTGATGCAAATTTAGCTTTGTCATCACAGGAATAAATAGTATTTCACAGTATTACTGTTTTTGCTGTATTTCTGATCAAAGTGAACTCTTTCAAAAACACAAAAACATTACTTGTCCCCAATCTTTTGTAAGTGTAAGGTCACGTTCACAGCAGCAGAATACGCTTGTCAGTCCTGTATTTGAGTCCTTAATACGGTTATGTTCACAACCGCATTCTATAACCAAACTCACACACCCATACATTTTCAGGACTCACAACCGCATTCTCCTGTGCTGTGTGTGAACGGAACCGGATTGGACAACTAGTTATCCGTCACGTCATACAGTGCGAAAGAGCCGCTCTGCGCAGCACAAATGTGTGTCTACTGTGTATTGCAGGTTTTCATGAGTGGTTTCGGTAGCTTACAGCGATGCAGATGTGAGCTGTGTGTGATCTGAAGGTTTTAGATCCAGTCACTGTTCTCCACTGGAGCTGCTCGTATCAGTTTTGTGTTGTACGCGCAACTCAAATTCCCCGCTCTCCATCCAGATATAAAAGCTGCAGTCAGTTAATGAAGATTTGACGGATGAACTCGCGGCTCAATGGAACTCTTGTAGTGTCAAAAGTGATAAGACTTTTCAGTTTTATGGATGTTGCCATCTTTAATATTACTTTGGTCACTGTCATTATAGTTACTGGTAAGAGAATACAGGCTTGACTCACGTTGCACATTCATACAGACAGTATTCGAGACGCTACTGTAAGTTGCTGTGTGAACGCGACATTTTGAGACTCACACCTGTAAGTAAATGTGGTGGGCAATCCCAAAAACTGACAGTGTGAACGTAGCATAAGATTATGAGAACATCATACCTGTATTTCCTAATGTCGGCACAGTTGTGGTTGTAGTGGTTGCCTCTGTTTCTCTCTCTGCCTGTCCCTCTTGTGCGGCCGTATCCACATCTGCATCCTCATCCATTTCCCGTGTCCTCTCTTCTCCTCTTCTCTCCTTCAGCCTCTCTTTCTCCGAGATCCCTCCGTTTCCTCTCCCTCCAAGGCACTCATCTTGGATGAGCAGCTCTGCTTCTCCTCCTGCCCTCTCTACATCTCCTTTCTCGCTTCCTGATCCAGAGTCACACGACAGGAACTCGTCCTCAGAGGGGCTTCGGTCTCCATCGACATGGTTAAGGTTGTCAAGGTTGTGGTCAGGGTCGACATCTGAGATCGCAATGCTGCAGTCGGTCAAAGGCTCCTTCAGCTCCTCATGAAGCTGGTCCATCAGACATCGCAAAAACTCCTGAGTGTCCTAAAAACACAGAAGCAAGAAGTGTGTACTTTACAAAAAGACTATGGTGCTTATATGAGAAACGCAACTACAGTCTTGAAAGGTTGCATAGTAATCTTCATATCAGCATTGTTACTGTTAATTAAAACTAAACTATTGTTAGTTGAAATAAAGCTAAAATAAAATAATATAAAAATATTAGATGGAAAAACTTAAACTTATAAATATTAAAATAAAATAAGTTAAAGTTAATGTACTAAAGTTACTGAAACTAATACTGAAATAAAAATAAAATAGAAATATACAAATATTTGTAAACTCAATATAAATGACAAAAGTACATAAAAAAAATACTAAAATAAACAAAAATCGCAATAAACACTGAAAATAAAAAATAAAAAGCCAATTCAATAAACGAATAATTACTATATAATATTATATAAAAAATACTAAAATAACACTGCTTTATATACCTGTTGAGCGTAGCCACGAAACATGGGGTTCACCAGTTTGATTCCATGAAACAGACTAGTGGGAACAACATAGCTTGGTCTGGACAGAAAGCAAAAGAAAGTACAGAAGAGTGAAAAAGAAAACCAACAGAGAACGGTAAGGTTCAGATAATTAGGACCAAGCTCAATAGATTAAAATTAGGTTCGCTAGAACTGGCCAGATCTAGTTTAGCGGTTTGGCAAGTCAGTGCTTGTTACCGTTTCTTGTGCCAGAGCTCAGAGATAAGCTTCTGAAAGCTTTTACACAACGCCGGCTTCTTATCCGTACGCACCAACCCACTGCAATCCAGGAAAAACTGAGTCAAAGGAGGACTGAAGAGAAAAAGAAAAAGAAACAGGAAAATCATTCTCAGTTTAAAGGGGCATGATGAACAGAACTGGAAAACAAATCAGTGGAATCAGTCACGCTTCCAGTCTGTGCTGTCTGGATCATGCCTATTTATGCTGCACAAGTTGTGAGCTCACCAGTTGGACAGGGCCTGCAGTGCAGCGTTCATGTAACAGGAGTTCCCAATGTTCTTCATCCCTGTGAGACCTGAGATAGAATAAAGACTATTACGCATAACGAGTAATGCAAACACCAGCCTACAACTTTGCTAAATATTGCTTTTGGAAATGACAGATGACCCTCAAATTTTGCAGTGTGGAATAGAATCTTAATCGTTACACATAATCAATGACAGTGAGATTCAATTTAATTCAGGCTATGTACTTCCATTAAGCAATATTTTTTCATATTAAAAAAACAGAAAATGAAATTGACTGGTCATTCGTTCATTATTTGAATCCGCTTATTTATGCTGTTGTATAAACAGGGCAAGATAGTTACATCTGTTAGTAAATACAAATGTAGAAGTTTATATAAAAGGTCATCAATAAGATTTTTTTTATAATATAAATAATAAGAATTAATACTTTTATTTAACAAGAATGCATTAAATTAAGCAAATGACAGTAAAAAAATGACACTATTTAAAATAAATGCTGTCCTTTTAATCTTTCTATTTATCAAAGAATCCTGACAAAAGGTATCACGGTTTCCACAAAAATACTACGTTTTCAACAAATTGAGCAGCAAATCAACGTATAGAATGGTTTCTGAAGACTGGAGAAATGGCTGCTGAAAATCCAGCTCTTTTAAAATATATAAAAAAAGAGAAAACAGGTATTTTGACCTGTAATAATATTTCAAAATATTACGGTTCTTACTGAGTATTTAATCACATAAAAGACTTTCAAAAACATTTAAAAATCATACTGATCTCAAACTTTTGAATGGTAGTGCATGTGTCCCCATCAATGCCTAGGTGGGTGTCCTTGCCATTTATCATTTATTAGAGAATTTGAAATGCCATGCAATATGTACTAGCTTCCTGTCTACATGATTATACCTCTAGGTTTAAGCTCATCCTCCTCAGATTCTGAGCCTTCCTCATCCGCCACTGCGATAGGAACCGCCTTCAGTGGGTGATATGTCTGGGGAAGATGATCCTTAAAAATTAGTGAATTGTGTATTTTGTATTGTACATGTGCTTTATAAATTCTAAATGAGATCTTCAGACTGATATTAATAATGCAGGAACAGGAAGTACCATCTTAATCATGTTTATACAATCTTAAACAGCAGAAAGTGTAGATTTCACCTGTTCATGTGGTTTGCAGCAGTGAGCTAATGATATAGGAGTAACAGGTTTTGGTTCCAGAAACACCTCCCTCTCACAGACGTAACACCACACCCTGAATGTGGTCAAGTTTACTGTCAGATTGTGTTTTCTGGCCTGGAAAAAGGTCAAAAGAAGATGCACACATGTACAAAAGAACAAAAAAATCATATATGGATGATATCTAGATAGAAATAGAATGAATGCTTAGATAAAAAGAAAGTGTGCACAAAATATTTAAATGATTAAGCAAACTGTAAGAAAGTCACCTGTGCGTGTATAGTACTGTGATCAGAATATGATTCTCCGCAGCCTACATAGGGACAGTCACACTGCGGGCAAAACAGGACAAAGAGAGTAATGATTTTCAAGTAATATATATGATTTACTTTGAAATCGACATGAAACAGAAGTTGCGATAGTCTTTTGTTTCTTATTGTGACGTATATCTGAGTGAAACTGCCTCTCAAAAAAGAAAAAATGCAGGATGGGACTAGATTTTGTCCATCGGTAATTGATTGGACCGTTGTTGTTTGCTAATGCTGCAATCTAATATGAGTTACAGGTTGTCCTGCCTTCGCACAGAAAAACACATCATCAGATTTGGTGTTAAATGATGAACAAAACAGCGTAAGCGCAAGAACACAGTGTGCAAGTGAATTGCAGCATTGTGAGCACAGTGTCACAGCTCACACATAAAATGTAAACCTGCAGAAATCGCATGAAATGTTTTTATGGGATTAATATCCTGCCATGATTCAAAACTGAAAATAAAGTTCAGAAAGGTTGAAACTAAGTGTTCGAAAACTCAAAATCTTACAAAAAAAAGTTTTGCCAGATCGAAAAATAAGATTTGCAAGCTTGCAAAATGTAAAAAAATTATATATATATCTCTGCAAACATTATGTTGTTTTTGAGATTTCCTTCTTCAGAACTGCAACATTTTTTTTACGATGTTGCGCAAACAATTTTTCAAACAATAATTCACTTGTGCGCTGTGTTCATGCGCTTGCTCTGTTTTGTCCATCATTTAAAGCCATAATGAGAGAAGAGAAGAAATGTGGTTGCTTGCAAGAGAAAGGGAAGTTATTTTGATTAAAGATTATGAGGGCACATGAATTTACAAAATAATGATGTGCACGGATAAATAAGATACTGAAATATTCCATTAAAAATATGAACTGTGATTTTTGATTTCATGCTGATTTTAAAGAAATGTTCTGGGCCTAATCTTAAAGATTGCATTCATAAATCTTTCTACATGCTTAAAGTCTATTGTGCTTGTAAGTTTGCAAGAGAAAAGGCTCCTTACCTGTAGACATGCCCAGAGGTTTGGTCCACCTACCCCACATGACTGACACGTGCCCTTGAGTAAAAAATAACATTATAGAATTCAATACACAGACCTCATAATACATTTAAGACTTAAATATCAGCAAAAGCAATACTAACCTTTGATTTCTGAATAAGTTCCTCCTTAGTTACTTCACCAATAAAGTCCAAGTGAGGACAAAGATCCCCGCTGTCAGTCATCTTGATTTTGACGTCATTCTATTACAAAGCACAAAGAATTGACAACTACTGATGCAACTCTGCACAGCATCAATACAATAAACAGCTGTGAAGTTGTGGGGTTAAAGTACACCCCAAAAAAGGAATGAAATCATCTATTTAGCCTCAAATTGTTTTTGACTTTCTAACTTCTGTGGTAAACAAAAAGAAATATTAAGTCAGTCACCATTCACATTTATTCTATGGACACACAAAATATTCTACCAAACATCTCAATTTGTTTTCTACAGAAGAAAGAAAAATAAACAGGTTTGGGAAAATATGAGGGCAAGAAAATTATGACAATTAAATTGTTTGCTGAACTGTCCCTTTAAGTATAACCTTCTAAAATAAACGTACACTCTCAATATCAGTGTGAAAGAGAAAATCTGGATACTGATTTCTAGCACATCTGCTTAATATGAGATGACAATGTAAGTCGGTGCCTGAAACTGAAACTCTCAGGACGGAGCCCAAAACTGCTGTTTCATGCGCCTAGCACTACTGAATGATGAATTCATCGCAAATCACTCCGTCCATTGTTACAGTGGAAAAATGCACAATAATACATTATTCAAGTAATCTGTAAATCTGCTTTTCGCACGAAAAGCAGCTTTAACTTATCCAAAGAGAAACTGAAAAACAATAATAATATGAACCAGACTCTATTCATCTTATTAGAAAAAATAATCTCAAAACATTCGGATAATTTCTGCGGCTTCGGTAAGTTAATTATCTTGTTCTTCAACACAATACATTTCCTCTAAATGTCATCGTCAACTACTCAAAAGCTGTTTTACATCACACGATCTTGCAGAATAAACAGGCCATATTTCCACTCGGGCTGCAAGACACTTTTCATACGCTCAGTCGACATGATGTTATCTTGACAAATAAACAGACACTTCGCTTTAACCGAAGGAAAGATAAAAACAGTTATTTACCTGTCAGACATAAACAAAAATAACACTCATAGATGATCATTTTAAGCCAATCTGTGGTGTTTGTAACAGAGGTGGGTAACAGTGCACTAAACAGCATCCATACTGAATAACGTTATAGCAATAGTGTGCGTCACAGCTTTGACCAGAGCCAATGAATGCTTTTTAGCTCTTTCATCTGATCAAAAACTATTTTTTATTTACTTACACTATTAAAATGTAAGTTACATACTACTTGTTTGGGCTGGTCATGATTTTAATTGTTTTTGTTATTATTTTTACTTCGGGTTTTTTTTCTTTTCTTTTTTTCATAAAAGTAGCTGATCTTAAACCAGTCTCTTTATCCTCCATAGTCGCTTTACTCCGTTAAACGGTTATATGGAAAACGGACGAGCTGATCTTAGATCAGCTGTTAATACAGTAATTGTGATGTCAGCGGAAGTTTCGGGAAATGTGGAGAAGAGGTCCGTCACTAAACACAGACCGCCGACGTTGCGTTCTGGCGTGTGAAGGGGTAAAATAAACATTAAATATATAGATTTAAATAGTTCTTTGAAATCATGCCACCGGGTAAGAATTTTAGGAGGAAGAAAGAGGATTCATCCGACGAGGAAGACGATGAGACAAAAGCCGTGGTCAGGTAGGCTAACGTAACAGTTAACGTATTAGCTGCTATGTTTATCACATTCAGGCCAAATACACTAAATTGAGCCATTAATAGATCAACCGAACTAACGTTACATAAAAGCATTTATACACGTGTCAGAATTATTCAGATGTTACATACAGATGTCTTTTTATAAACAATATATAATGTAAATATTTTTAAATATGTTACATTTAAATTTGTTTTCCAAGGTCCAAACTGGATGAAGCCAGGGAGCTTCAAAGTCTACGAAAAAGGCAGCATGGAGTGAGGTTGGTCAGAAGTCTAGTCAATCTTAAACGTTTGCACAAGCCTTATTTTTGTACAGTGTTTAATTTTTCATTTCTAATTTTTGTAGACAAAATCATTTTCAATTATGCTAAATTATTTTCGGAATAATACATGCTGCTTTATCATTCCATTCCTCCAGCATTGCAACGTTACTTGTAGGAGAGAAGCTTCCTTTGGATGCTGAGCTTGAGGTATGTTTTTTTTTCTGATTTTAATCAAACTACATTTTGTAGTACAATGAAGGTATTGTAATGTTATAGTTTGTGTATCTAATAACTAATGAACCAATAATTTATGAACTAATAGAGGGGTAAAATAATGTTTTGTGCGTTAGGATGACCCATTTAAACTGAAGACTGGAGGTGTTGTTGACATGAAGAAAGTTAAAGACAGAAACCGAGACATGTAAGTGTTATGATATCATGTTTGCTTTTCATTTAAAGTTGATGTTTTTGTATTTTACAACTTAAATAATTAACTTTTCCTCCACTATAGGACAGCTGATGAAAACGACCTGAATCTTGGTACATCCTTTTCTGCAGAGACTAACAGACGAGATGAAGATGCAGACATGTAAGTTGATGTGTGCGCGCAAAACATCTGCATTCAAGTTTCTGCATGATGGTCTTTCTTCATTGGTGTTTTTGCCTCAGTTTATGTTTTTATCTTCTCTCTGCTTGTATGTGATTTCATTCAGGATGAAGTACATTGAGACTGAGTTAAAGAAAAAGAAAGGCATGGTGGAGGCAGAGGTGCAGAAGGTGAAGGTGAAGAATCCAGAGGACCTCCTGTACGAGCTTCCAGAGAGCATCCGTGTCAATTCTGCCAAAAAGACCGAAGAGATGTTGTCCAATCAGATGCTGAGTGGAATTCCAGAGGTGGATCTGGGGATAGAGTAAGTAAAGACCAAAACTAATTCAGACATTTTCCATTGATCGCATCAGATATTTTTCTCTGTATTCTGGCTAATTAGACCTACCTAGCTATGGATGCCAATTCCAAAACCCTCTTTTTCCAATCCTATTAAGTGCAAAGATAAAGAACATCATCAGCACAGAAGATGCCAAAGCAAAGCTGCTTGCTGAGCAGAGGAATAAGAAGAAAGACAACGGGACCTCCTTTGTTCCCACTAACATTGCTGTGAATTACGTCCAGCATAATCGCTGTAAGTGTACACATATTCTACCGTTCCTTCGAAGGTTTGGGTTCAGTAAGATTTTAATGTTTTTGAAGTCTCTTATGTTCACCAAATACTGTAAAACAGTATTACAATTTTAAATAACCCTTTTCTATTTTAATAATTTAAAATGTAATTTATTTCTTTGATTTTCATCAGCCATTACTCCAGTCTTCAGTGTCACATGATCCTTCAGAAATCATTCTGTTGATTTGCTGCTCTAGAAACTTTTCTTATGTTGACAGCAGTTACAAAACATTTGATTTTAGATAGATTTTTTTTTGTGACAAATGTAGTTGTCCTTCAATAAATAATTATACAATTATTTCTTTACATAAACCAATTTACTGTATCAGTAAACCTGTGTATTTTATATTCAGAAGTATTGTTTTGTCCATCACATCAAGATTAAGTTCAGTTTTATGAATTACAGCTTCATCCATGCCTAATGTTTTAAACATGTAGATTACTAGCTAGGAATATTTGAAACATTTCCTGTCCTTCCCTAAAGGAGAAATGTTAAGTCATTTTCTGTTCTTCTCTCAAGTCTATCACGAGGATGTGAACGCTCCCCAGAGAAGAGCCCACAGAGAAGAGCCCAAAGCCAGGCCGCTACGAGTAGGAGACACGGAGAATCCAGCACCTGAGCGTAAGATCAGGATGAAAACCTATTTTGCTTAATTGACAGATTGAATTGCATTTAATGAATTTATGTTGATGTTTTTTCTTTTCTGTTCTTCAGCCTCACCACCCAACTTCCGCAAGAGACCGAATAACGAGAAGGCCACAGATGACTACCACTATGAGAAATTCAAGAAGATGAACCGACGATACTAATCCTCCACCTTTGTTATAGTCAACTAGATGTTCACTTTTTTTTTTCCTGTAAACTGAGTGATGTAAATATTTTTTACCGGTAAAAATTTCTCCATAGCTTACAATCATAAACATTTTACAATAAAACTTTCCCCAAAACATTGAGTTTTTGCTAACTTTTTAAAAGTAGAACATTTTGGTTTAATAGCTATGTACTGTGCAATATGTTAATGTTATGTGTTTCAGTATAATGTGGAACAAATCAACAAAATTGCTTAATCACTATATTAATTAAACCTCATTTTTTATTATTAAAAGAAATGTTTATTCTACAGAATTAAAATAATGACAAAGAGAAAACTTCCTTGGAAGTCATGAAGAGCAGTACAGTGCACATGTACTTACATGTAACATATAGTGACAGTGTATTTTGTTACTTAAATAGAGCAGCAATATTTACTCTGAATGTATGCAGCATCATGTTTACAAAGAAGTCTAATTTTCTATACAAAACACCATTTCCTTAAACAAGTTTAATTACAGAATTTTTTTTATTCTACTTTTCTTTTGCAGAACAATGATGAAAATAATGTATAGAATAGTTGTATTATTACTCAAACTAGAGGCATTAAATGTAACCAATAAACAGACAGAAAGAAAAAACACTTTATTATACCACTGTTACCCAGAACTAAGTTACCCAGCTACAAAACTGAAATTCTATTTATAAGAAATGTTCTCAGTATTAATTCAGTGTCATTTTTGCAGGAAAAAATCTCATCAATTCAAGTAGTTCTCTAGATTTGCAGTCTACAGCTGGAGGTTTTAGATGGGGCTTATTTAGATGGCAAGGTTCTTGGCTGTGTAATCTAACTGGTCCACGAAGGAAGCCGCCAGTATTTCACGACTGCTCACTAGTGCTGCTGCCGTGCATGGACTCCTGGGTCCCCAAATGGTCTGAATCCTCTGGGTTGGCATGTGAAAGGTCAGAGGTCGTCTCGGGGGACCCCCAACTGTCCCGCCGATGAAAGGCCTCACAAAGTGGCAACTCAACACCATCCCACTGTCCACAGCTAGAAACGTTATACACACACGTTATACACAAGCACACAAACTAACATTTCTACTGTCCACTTCTGCCTAAAAACACACTCAGTAAACAATTAGGAGTATATATGAATAATGAACATTCATAAAGGACACATACACAGACAAACTGACAAAACATGAAAGAACTGGGAAAGGAAGCCCAAGCAGGGAAAGGAAGTTGTGAAAAGCATTATTCAGCATTGCCACTAACTTATTGATTGGAAACGTGTGGTCACATGATGTCCTTTGAGTTTTGGTCTGTCAGATCACATTACTCTTCTGTTTGCTGTGTTTCTGTGCATTCAACAGATGTGTGTAGAGTTTAATAATAGAATTGCTTAATAGATGAAAAGCGAAAGGCTGTAAGCAGCAGAGAATTTAGACTATGAATTCAACAGACAGAGGCAGAACATAAATTCCAATTCGGAGACGAGCAAATAATAGATCGGACACTAAATGTGCTCTCGTTTCTATCTGGTTTATTTATGGAATTTGAAATGGTTTGTGGAAAAACTGACAAATAATCTGATACATTTTAAACAGGCACTTATGTGACCAACACTGTTTCTACTAAATACGTCACCACAAAGAAACATAGTATAGTGCGATTTTAAACCACTGATGAAAACAAATGCTTTTTAAAATGATAAATATTACATTTTGAAATTGACATATGCCACTGAAAGCTAAAATATTTTGCCAGTTGCACAATATTCAATTAATATAACAGAAAAAGAAAAAAATGGCATTTATGAATTCTCAGGGGGAAAAAAACAAATTGTTTCTTGATCTTAACAATTTTCTTCCAGTAAGCAAATTAATATGATTCTTTAAAAGTAATTTATACAATACTTACAGCACCCTATATTCTTTTTTAAAAATTCTAACGTCTGTGAATTTTGAAGCTCATCCAACATTGTGTCCAATCAAATATCAAATGACATTAAAATTAAAAACTATTTCAATTAAGAAATGATTTCCATTATAACCCAAAGAAATGTTCTCTTCACATATAACTATTAATGGTTACAATGTTGCGCTTCAAAGACAGCTTAAATGTATCTAAAATCTTTAAATAGCAATAAAGATCCAGATTTATACTATACTAATCTCTATAAACAAATTAATCTGACCAGCTCCATTAATAAAAGTAAATACACATCCTGATTCCTGATTGCAAAATGAAGTAAATCTTCTAAAACACAATTGATTAAGGCACCCGGAGGGGAAATATTTACATGCACTTATATATGTATAACAGAAGGGTTTTCTTGTACAAAACCAGTTATATAGAAAGTGCTTTATAATGTCTTTGGTGTGACTGCAATATGGATGGATATAACAATATGGATATATGGATTTTACTATATTAGAAGCATAGCAGAAACAGATATGATGATGCCTGGCTTGTTATAAACATGACAAGTGGAATAAAACCCAAGGGTCTACAGAGTCTTACTACATGACTGAGCTGTGTGAGAGGAGAATACACTCTTTCATTAGCTACAGGCTTACCTGCAAGAACGAACACTCTTATTAAGGCACAATGGTATGATATGAATGTGTGTATGTGTCTGGAGGACCAAACTAGCAAGATGTAATAAAACAATTACGGCAAACCAACAAGGTTAGCGCATATTTTAAAATTGTCAACAGTTGGAGCCAATAATTGGTTGTGCAAGTAAGTTAAAAATATCTTTATAGACATATTAATGCCTGGCTCCATTAATCACCCTGTGTTATGTTCTTATGATTTACATATGCATCACGTTTGTAAGCAATGGAAGGCAGAGGTAACTGCACACGTTTGGGATCACTGGTCTATTTGTACCTGGAGGAGTAATACTCTTCCTCGAGCTCATACAGGTCGATGGCAATCTCATCACGCAGGGAGATGAGCTTCTTGTCGCACTCTTCCTGCAGCGTGCGCAGCTGCTGGTTGCGGAGACTGATGGCCTCATTGACAGAGGGGAAGTCATTTAGGATGAGGAACTGCTTCAGGTCCGAGACAAGCTTCATGAGAGACTCTCCTGCACGTACCTAAAACACAAACACATTGAAGGTATAGTACACACAAAAAGGAAAATTCTGCTTTCAATTACTCACCCTCATGTTATCACAAACCCATGAAACTTTCGTTCATCTTCAGAACACAAATGAAGATATTTTTTATGAAATCTGAGAGATTTCTGTCCCTCCATTTCAAATCTAGTCGCTTCAAAATGTAAAGGGATTGTAAAATAAATCCATATGAATCGAGCGGATTAATCCAAAGTCTTCTGAAGAGACACGGTCGCTTTATATGACAAACAGATTTAATTTAGGCTTTTATTCACATATAAACATTGATCAGCGAACGCACATACAGCAAATCAAATATGGTAAACGGAAGCTTGACACGCAAGAACCAATGAGGTTTACACTCGCATCACGGCAGCACGTTTGAGCTCCATCAAGCACCAATGAAGTTTGTTCTCGATTGTAACGCAAGTACAACTGAGATTCTGTTAACCATATATGAGTGCCCTATGTATATATCTGCTGATCAATGTTTTACAATCTCTTTATGAACGTTTTGAAACGTCGAAATTCTGGGCGATTAGACTTTCAATGGAGGGACAGAAATCTCACAGATTTTTTTCTTTAAATCCTTATTTGTGTTTGAAGATGAACGAAAATGATCTTATGGATTTGGAATGACGCAAGCGTGAGTAATTGATGACAGAATTTTCATTTTGGGGTGAACTATCCTTTTAAATGTGTTAACTGGTATCTGAGGTGTCTGTTTATCACTGTAGATCTTACAATGTTGGCGGCTCGCACATGCATTTCGTAGTGGTCCTGCTCAGCTTGTGTCGCCCTGAAAACCTGAGTCTCATCTTCCACCTGATCGATGAGATAACCAGATTATTGTTTTGGAGCTAAATCATATCAATATGAATGTCATCCAGCACAATGCATGCATGCTAACATACCTTGGCAGTTTTGATTATTTCTGTAAAATTGTCTAGAATTGACCTGATGTCATCTTTAAGTCTCTTGTTGTAGTTCTGCAGTAGAGTCTCTTTGCTTTGCGGGAGGACTCTCTGAGAGGTCATCTCTGCACTTTTCAGTCACTCTCTACTTAGTAAGAATCTGAAACAAAACTTTATTAGAATTGCAATTAATTTTCACACAAACCGCTACTAAGCACATATAATAAACAGGCATTATTGCATTTTTTTATGAAATTGTGCTCTCAAAAATGATGAAAAAAATATGAAAGTCTGTTCTAATTTTTAACCCTTAATAATACTGGTTATTACATGTTTAAGTCTGTTTACTGTATAGCTTAGTAGTTAGTAATATCCCTATGTAGTCAGTTTTTACATTTCATACTGTACACTTGTAAATCCTGGTTTAACGTTCTTATCTGCATAATTAAGAGTTCAATTGGACAAACATGTGCTCGTGATGTCGACGCAACTTCATTTAATAACAGCTCGTCCATCTGTGAAAATGTCTATTCTGGCTATTTTAAGAAACCCATAAAAGTGGAACCAAGAGTATTGTCTCTATTCTTCAACACAGTTAACGTTAGATTAATGCATTTGCTAATGTCTCCATTCGAGATTTATTTTTTTTCACTTAGACGCTGTAACTTAACAGCGCGTGGATATTTATGCGACTGTACATCACGCATTAATAATTAATGAGTTAAGAACAGTGTAGATACTGTAGTTTAAATATATAAAAACGCTACTTACAAGCATTCTTCTAATATCGCTTCTTCTTCTTTTGATGTTTTATGGCGGTTGGCAAACCAGTTTATGGTCCATATTCCGCCACCTACTGGGATGGAGTGTGAGGCAATGATATCAAAGGAAAAATAATATTAAAAATCTACCTATATTCTATTATATTACTTTGTTATTTTCAGGAAACTTAGAAGAGCTTTATAACCTTTATAAGAACTGTTTAGCACATTCTGTAATGTCAGAGAATTGTAATTCCTCTTTTAATTGGAGTCTTTCACTTTCATACGCGCTACAGTTAATCAGCACATGCTCTACTGTTTCTAAAAGTCCACAATGATTACACTGACCGGATTCGTGTTTTTTTCTAATATCGCTTCAAATAAACATGAGCGTTTGTTCTGTCGCGTACAGATGATGTCATTACCAATTGTCGCGGTAGTTATATTTCCCACAATCCTCTTCTTCTTCCTTTCCGTCTGAACCAACATGGTGAGTGTCGGATGGTTTTGACTTGGAAGCCTTCACTTCTTAAAATCCTTAAGCATCCTGTTTTGTAGGCTGTTGTAGGGCTCATAGTAAATCGGTTATGGAAAATAAAGCACCAGCGCTTGCTCGCTGAACGAGAATTGTGATCGTTTTAAGTATGTAGATTAAGAATTATGAGAACTTCTAAAAGGTGTAGTGTCCGCTTTATGTCAGCAGTGACGACTCGAGATGTGCCGCCTTTAGACCGTAAGCATTTAATTGTCCGTAGTTTTAAAACGGACTCACTCTATTATTATTTTTTTAATAACATGTTTATTATTACGAGTATCTTAATTATGGACTCTAACTCGAATGCTAACATGTTAGCGTATTGATTTGTAGGCCACAATGAATCGGATCGGCCCGCTGGTGTTTCTTAAACACATGCGTTGTATAGTCTACAATATTACACCCCCGTTTGCTAATTAATAATTTGCCAATTATGATTAATGAGAATACAGTGTTGGGTAAGCGTTTATATCTGCAATGCTAAATTGTTTGAGCAATTAAGTTGCTACAACGCAGGTCACAACATAAGTTGGTGTATTTTGACCATTAGGGTTTTTTTTTTGGCTTTTGCAGTGATGACTTGAATTTCTTCACCTGAACATTGTGTTGAACTCATCTTTTAAACTGAGCAAGAGCTGTAAAATGCTGTTTCTGTTGAACTTTATGCTCATTATGGAGTCAAGATAAGTAATGTTGTGTCTCTCTATAGCCTAAGGGGAAAAAGGCTAAGGGGAAGAAGGTGGCACCAGCCCCTTCAGTGGCCAAGAAGCATGAGGCCAAGAAAGTCGTGAACCCCCTGTTTGAGAAGAGGCCTAAGAACTTTGGCATTGGTGAGTAATAACTGGACCTTTGAGATTTGAGCCCACACAGGCGTTTAAAGTGTGTGACAGTCAAATAAGTGCAGATGATGTAACGAATATTTGCTATCTTAACAGTAATGCTGACAATCTTCCACCAAGATCGCTGATGCACAAATGTCTGGAAATCAATTGATATTTTTTTTTTGCCATTTATTGCAAATGTAAGTCATGTGCTTTAATCTTCAGGTCAGGACATCCAGCCAAAGCGTGATCTGACCCGATTTGTGAAATGGCCACGTTATGTCCGGCTACAGCGGCAACGGGCTATTCTCTACAAGCGTCTGAAGGTTCCCCCCGCGATCAACCAGTTCACCCAGGCTCTGGACCGCCAGACCGGTGAGTCTTTTTTGACATTCTGATGCTGTCTGTACAACAATGCATGTAGAGGCCGACGATAGTGGTTTTGCCGATACTTTAAAAATGGAAAATGTGCTGGTAAGATTAATTGGATAGTTTTTAATCTGTAACGAGAAGGAAAATTTCTGCTTAATGTAAAGGTGCTTTACTAGAAAATTAACAATGAATTGATCCTGATAATGTAAATGATTCACAATATAATTAAAGGGATAGTTAACCCAAAAATGAAAATTCTGTCATTTACTTGCCCTCATGTCGTTCCAAACCTGTAAGATTTGTTTATCCATTGACAGTCTATGCAATGACCACTTTCAAGTCCCAGAAAAATAGTAAAGACATCATTAAATTAATGTGCCTCCAGTGGTTTAACCTCAATTTTATGAAGAAACGTTTGTTTCCTTTTTGTTTGCGCAAAAAAAACGCGTTGGAGATTAATATTTTGTAAATAAAGTGGTGTGAAAAAGGTTGGTGCAAACAGCACTTGCTTCGCTTGATAAAATTGAGGGCAAACCACTGAAGTCACAAGGATTACTTTAATGATGTCTTTTACAGCCTTTCTGGGACTGGAAAGTAGTTGTATAGGCTGTCAATGGAGGGACAGATCTCAGATTTCATTTAAAATCTTAATCCGTGTTCTGAAGATGAGCGAAAGTCTTACGGGTTTGGAACGACATGAGGGTAGGTAAATTACTACTTTTTTACTATCCATTTTAATGTAATTTTCCAACCTCATTGTATATCCCGGAGGGAATTAAACTACTGGGGGTTTTTTTTGGGGGGGGGGGGTTCTTACAGAGAACCAATAGTTCCACCAATTAATCGGTAAAAACATTGATCGGCCTCTAAATGTTTTATTAGACGTGTGGCATTTGACTTTGTGGATGTGCAGATGATGTGAAGAATATTTGCTATCTGAAAAGTTGATGACAGTTTCCACCAAGATCACTGATGCACTTTTGTATGTTGTATAATGCTGCCTAGGAATTGTACTTTAAAATTAGTGTTGGGTTAAGTTTGTCCTAAATTGTAAGCTTAGAGGGACCTGGCATTGTTGCAAGAATTATAATTGCTGAAAAACTAATGGCTTTTACATTTACACCTAAAATTGTTTAAATTTAACTTTCTGTAGCTACCCAGCTGTTCAAGCTGGCCCACAAGTACAGGCCAGAGACCAAGCAGGAGAAGAAACAGAGACTGCTGGCTCGTGCTGAACAGAAGGCTGCTGGAAAGGGAGACGTGCCCACTAAGAGGCCACCAGTCCTCCGTGCAGGTGGGTCTTTTTAAAAGTCTTTTTTCCTTCAAGACACTGAAAGGTACATTCTTTTCCTGAGTTATGAGTTACTCATTTGTACATGGCATCCATCGGTTGTTCTCAACCTTTTTGACTTCAAGGCCTCCCTTTGTCCAGTGCTAGCTATATATGTATATCTTTTTTTTTTGTCTCGTTATTTCTCAGGTGTGAACACGGTGACCACACTAGTGGAGAGCAAGAAGGCACAGCTTGTCGTTATTGCGCACGACGTGGATCCCATTGAGGTGTTTTTCTTTTTGTACAGAATGGACATCTGGTCATAAATTGTTGTGGTTGTCTGCAATGATGTCTTGAATTTCTTCACCTGAATTCAAAATGAAGATTAAAAATACGAGCTTTTTAACCCTGAGCAACAACCACTCAACGTCTCTCAGGAGCATTTCTGTAACAATTCTTTTCAGAATTGTTATGGCTTTTGGTTTGATTTGTGTATATGTGGGGTTTGTTGTCAATTCTTAATTGGTTTAATTTGTCATCTGTAGCTGGTGGTGTTCTTGCCTGCTCTGTGCCGTAAGATGGGTGTCCCATACTGCATTGTCAAGGGCAAGGCTAGACTGGGCAGACTTGTGCACAGAAAGACCTGCACTTCTGTTGCCTTCACACAGACCAACCCGTGAGTAACACACACATTAATGTTTCACTTTTCTGTGCTGCACATCCTATGGCAATGATGTCTGAATTTCTTCAACTGAACAACCGTGTGGTTTCAAAGAGCTTTTTAACCCTGAGCAAAATGATTTGCAGTTTCACACTAATTTGGGCATTATGGACACAAGACCTTTGTGGTTAATGTTTTGTTTTTGTCCTTCCCTCCCACTCTTTAGTGAAGACAAAGCAGCTCTTGCTAAACTGGTGGAAGCTATCAAGACCAACTACAATGACAGATACGAGGAGGTCAGTTTGTTTCCTTCTGTGGTTGCAATTGCTGAAACTAGTACACTACATTTTTATTATTTTCAATTAGTTTATTTAACATTGTATAACCAAATTTCTTTCTGCTAACTGATTTCTGAATCTAATATTTATTTCTCCCATTTCAATTCTCTCTTCAGATCCGTCGTCACTGGGGAGGCAATGTCCTGGGTTCCAAGTCAACTGCTCGCATTGCTAAAATCGAGAAGGCAAAGGCCAAGGAGCTGGCTACTAAACTGGGTTAAGTTCCCAGCTTGTTTAATAAATAAAAATGTTCACACAAGTATCTTGAGTTTGACTTGTTCTTTTTAAACTTTCAAGATTTCATTTTTTTACATCTTATGCCGGGCGTACACCAAAGGATTTTCACAGTCCCAGACTAAAGACCGGCAGTATTTAGGAATCTTACTGGAATCTCGGCGCGCTCCCGTCATCTCGATCGTTAAATGTGAGGTGATAATCTGCAGTCGGCGACCCGATTTATGCCAGTCTTTCTCTAGTCTTTTATATCAAACATGTTTGATATTATCGCAAGTCCTAGCGTAGTCCTACTGACGTAAAACAATCAACAACCAATAAAATCGTTCTCAGAAAACCGGAAACAGGAAGCCATCAGTCACAACAAAGAAACATGTCGACGGACGTGGAAACACAACGAGCGCTAAGTAGGCGAAAATGTACCGTGGATAAAGAGGAGCGCCTTGTCGAGCTTATCATCCCATTAAATAGTCAACTCTTTATTAAGAAATGTTCACATAACGTCTAATTTGATTTTTTTTTTTTTCATTCCTGGAAAAGAAAGTGATTTATTGTAATTAAACAATATAAATTAACATTTTTTTACTCATCAAACAAAAAATATGCATAAAAATGCCTATTTTAATGGAGGAAAAAATTAGGACCCCTAATAACTAGTGATACCCCCCTTTGTTGAAATTAATTCAGTGAGATAAAATGGTGGAATGGCTGATGTCAAAGTCCTTTGAAATATGCATCTTTTTAAATCCTTTTCCACACTCATAAGCAGTGTGGGGGGAATATATGGGGGGTGTCCTAATTTATTCCTCCTCAAAAATTGCATTCTTTTAAAATTACATTTCACAGAGAGTCTTAAAAAGACCTTCCTTATTTTTAAATAGTTTAGTTAAATTACTGGGTCCTTCAGTATTGTTAAAATTGTTATGTCCGTATGTTAAAAAATAGACAGGCTTTCATGGTGTCCTATTTTTTTTCACATGACTGTATGGTTGCCTTTATATAATTTAATAATAATGATAATTTATTATTATTATTTAATGATGATAATCACATAATTTGGACAGTGACTCCCACCCCCTGCAGAACACCATCACTGCACTGAGCAGCCATCACTGCACTGTTTATTTATTGTATACATTGTTTACATTATTATATATATATATTTTTTTGAGGTTTGTCTTTTTAAAAAAACTTGTCTTTTTTTTTGTGAAAAATGATTTAAAGGCTGAAAGTGAACATATTTATTATGTGTCTAGGGGTGTATATCCACTGTGCTGCTGCAACACTGAGAAATTCCCCATTGTGGGAATGTCAGGTCTATCTTATCTTATATACCACCACCACTGTAGGCCTACCTTCAGACATATTTTGGATCATACAACATAATGTGATACAGTAGCTAACTGTAGCTGCTTCTCCTCCATTTTTGTTAAATCACTGCTGAGCATGATGGGAGGAATTTGGTGGGAATAAAAAGCTAAAATCTAGTTGTAGTCCTGTAAATAGTGTCACTACAAGATTCAGTGTTTGTAAAATCTTTAGTCTGAGACTAAAAACTGTGAACCCAAAGTCTTTAGATGTGAGCTGATAATCTTATAAAATCTTTTCAAAGTCTTTTGGTGTACGCCCGGCATTAGTCAATACAATCAACTGAATGATTTTAGGTACTATTTATACAAATTTTTATAACCTTTATACAAATCTCTAAAAATGTTTTATTTAAACCACCTTTATAGAGCTGGGTTTCAACCATAGACTAAAAAATAGGTTTCAACATTTATACTCAACGGCATCCCATTAATGTCCATAAATAACCCTCTGGTGCTGTTTGGTCTTTTTTTTCTTTTTCTTTTACTGAATTTTTACTTTCTCAGAATGGTACAAAACTTGATAAAGGTTATGTGAACACAAAAAATCATGGACATGATTCATAAAGGTTATTATTCTGAAAAAGTCACTAGTACTCCTGCATTGGAAATGAATGGGAATCTTAATTTCATATAGTGGAAGCTTTTGGTACTGCGCAAACAATCTTGCTGAAAGCTCATTCTTTGAAATATCAAGCTCAAATTTGAAACGCTAGTTTAGATTTATGGCTTGATTTCTTGCAGTTTGAGTAAAATGTTTTCATATAAAATATGAAAATGGTATTGTGAATTTTTCATAAATGTAAAATTCTATAACCTTAAGTTCACTTAAAAAAATTCACTTCAGGAATATTCTGCCAAGTGTCATCTTTAAAAAGAGACTGTTAAACTTAAGTCTGTTCCAAAGCATTTAAAATTTAAGTTGGAAATGTCATGTTCAGGTCTATGCTCAAAGTGAATAAATGAATAAATCCCCTAAAAATACAAAAGTACATTTCATTAAAATAAAAAATTGACTGCCACATGAAGAGCACCAGAGGGTTAAATGTCCTTATTGGCTAAGATAATATCTGTGTTCGACTTGAAGCGGCGCTGCACAGTCTTAACGGTGTATGACAAAGTACCGCAAGAGTAGCTGCATACCTACTTACTCCAGAATTCCTGCTGGAAGTGGAAACACTACTTGTTTTCCAACTTTTTATTAACCGTAACAGTTTTGTTTTGATAAGAAATATTTTGTAAAAATTATAAAATAAATAATTTCAGTTTACAGAATTTTGTGTTATCCTGTGGCCTCCTTTGAAGTTTGCTGAGGCTGGTTGAGAACCACGGCTTTATAGCATAATTCCCCTTTATAACCTTTGTATCATAGCATGAAGTCCCTGTAAAGGCAATTCTAAAAAAAAAAATTCTAAACCCATTATAAATGTTAGACATGTATTGCTAAAACATATTACAAAGACTGTGAACTGTGAATTACTGAATTGTGGAGTTAGACCGTTAAACAGTTTTTCACCATTGCTATTTTTTGGATTTTTTGGGCGGGGCTAAAACGGGGCTCGATGACGCACTGGAGCCCCTGAGCTCCTGGACACGCCCCTACTTGATGACGCACTGAGGCCACTCAATCGTGACTTACTGTCAGTACTAGTTACTACAGCCTACAGTTTGCTAGCTAGCTGCTTCGACACGGAAATGCGTTGGCTACTACCTGGATGCGATCATGTACAAAACAGATCGGTGTCTTTATTTAAATTTCCTAAAAACGATCACATCACGAAGAGGTAGATTAATTTTGTGAAGAGCCAACCTTGATGGAGAGCTGAGGATCACCGCCAACACCCGCCTCTGTAGCGATCATTTTACACGGGATAGTTTTATAAACTTTCGTCGGAGACAACTGGGATTCACTGATAATCCGCTGTTACTGGTGAATGGGGCCGAACCGACTATCTCCCGCCTCGGCCTTCATCTCCCCGTCCCGAAAGCAGTATCACAAATATCACCGTCGGCTGCTTTCCCGCGAGTGGGCGTGGTTTCAGCGCAGCCAGCGGACACGCCCCCAGCGTTTGAGAGCAGAATACTGCTCATTTTTTCAAGATTT